TGAATAAAGGTATTATTCCTGTCAAAGGCACTATGTCATTTCATTGGATTAGTGCCGTCACAGTTGGAAAAATACGCACTCGAATAACTTCTTGCTATTGTTCACTATGCATTACTGGGAAATTTCACGATTTCTCTGAATCTTGTTTTATACGAAAGATCAAGGAAGACGACGCACCTGAAATAAATGTAGAAGGTGCGGTACAAAGTACCACAAATGTTGTACAGGGTACACCAAATGTTGTACAAAGTACACCAAATGTTGTACAGGGTACACCAACTGTTGTACAAAGTACACCAAATGTTGTACAAAGTACCACAAATGTTGTACAGGGTACACCAAATGTTGTACAGGGTACACCGAATGTTGTACAGGGTACACCACATGTTGTACAGAGTACCACAGTTTTATCTAAAACATTTACATTTACCTCTGGTATGTGGGTTGCTGTCATTTATGAAAATGAAATCCACTTGGGTAGCATAAAAGAAGTGGACCCTGAAGAAAACGATTGCTTAATATCGTTTATGAGAAGATGTTTGGCTCTGGATGTCCACAAACCAACTTTCAAGTGGCCATCGACTGTTGACGAAATATGGGTTGACTTTGCTAATATTTTACTTATTGTGGATGAACCGATTCCAATTGGTAAAACTGGTCGAAGTTTCCATTTAAATGATAAAAATTCTAAAGAATTCTTAAAATTGAAAGATTAATTTCAGTTAAAACGAATAATGTTTGTTGTTACATTTTTTATTGAATTTAGTAATTTACGTTACATTATTAAAATCTCTAAAAATCAACATTTTGCAAATAAATTTGTATTAATTTAATTTGATAAGTCTGTCCATTCAATATATGAATTAGTAGTTTGTTTCTGTTCACATTTTTGGAGCGTTTTATCTCTACGTAATATACGTTACACTTTGGTGAAATGTACGTTACCATCTGTATAAGTTTCCCTGACGAATCTGAAGAGAATATTGGTCTTTTATAATATTTAGTATTGAAAGAATATATCCAGGGGTAGTTTAAAACAATATTAAATTGTTATGCCGCTACACTGCATACGATTTGTGTAATATCATAATGTTTTCAATTTATTGATGAAAATTCCACGTTGTGCTCTTTTGTATTATGAATAAGATATTTATAAACCAAAATGTTTTTAGAATTACTTAGAATATTTCAGAGGTTTGAAACGTATCTGATGCTTGAAATAAACGAGTGACAAAGGCGATTATTAAGAAGAAATCTTTCAAAATATTGATCATATTTAGCTATTATTAGTAACGTAGCTTACGCCAGACGATTTTGAGAATAATGTTTGAAAACTCATATCTTAATAGGTATATGTGACCCAGTTTTAAAAATTCACACTGTTACACAGTAAATATTCTTTCGTACATAAATCTCATTAAGAACAAATATTTCGAAATTTTTATTTTTGTTATTAGCGTTTTTAAATTGGGTCTGTTTGGTGAGAATAGGTGTACAGTACAAAAATTACAAAGTAAAACTTCAACTGGAATTTAAAAAAGACTAACCTCAGTGAGTTCCTACTCACTATATAAATATTTAAATAAAAAGCACACACTTAATTGCAAATATCCAAATAAAAACTAAAATAACTTCCAATAAAAAGGTCCTTTGCTGCTACAGTCCAAAAATTACAAAGTAAAACTTCAACTGGAATTTAAAAAAGACTAACCTCAGTGAGTTCCTACTCACTATATAAATATTTAAATAAAAAGCACACACTTAATTGCAAATATCCAAATAAAAACTAAAATAACTTCCAATAAAAAGGTCCTTTGCTGCTACAGTCCAAAAATCACAAAATAAAACTAACAGGAATTTGAGAAAGACTAAAATAGTAATCATTGGCTATAAGTAGAGTGGTTCGTGCACATAACAAAAATCCAATAAACGAGCTATATTTGGGGCTTATTTTAACAAATATGATAAGACTCACCAGTCATCATTCATTAACAATTAAACTATTGCTAAGTTGGATATTTGTGGAATTTAACCATTTGAATGGGACTTTCTAATATGTGGAAAAGTTGACCGCCCAAGTAGCGTTACAGCGGTAGATTTTTTCATCCGAGGAAAAACAGGAACCAATCCTTGTAAATACCGGGGATTTTTTACTATTATTTATTTACAAGGATTGATTCCTGTTTTTCCTCGGATGCATCACTGAGATCCAAACTTGCCTGCACTGTTATGAGGACTCTTCCGCCCCTCTTTTCCTATCGTGTGTGAGGTTTTATCATCTTCTTCCTGGGATTATTTATTTTACTTTCACGGACGATTGAGCATCCTCTGCGGATCCCTTCACACTCCAGAGACACCCGAACGCCAACGGCGTACTCTCTCTACAGCCTCAACCTACCAGCATGGAAGAAGAAAATCCAAATAAAAGACCTAGAACGATACTGAATCTGAAACGTTTTTTATACGCCCACATTTTCATGTGGACGTATTATGCCGTCGCCCCTGTCCGTCCGTCCACAATTGTTTGTGGACTCTCTACAGGTCACAATTCTTATCCGATTTTGATGAAACTTGAAATGTAAGTTTATAACCCAAAGTTCTCAGTTCCTTTCGATATTCGCGCATATTAGACCGTAACTTTCTGAATTATGGCCCCTGATTGTGCGAAAAATCGCGTTTTTAGCTTGTGGACAGAGGTCATAATTTTTATCCGATTTAAAAAAACGTATTATTATATCACCGTTACACCCTAAGGACAGCTGTGTTCGAATTTCGTGAAAATCGGCCCAAAATTGACAGACAAAATGGCCGCCGTTCGTTCTCAAATAGTGTAAAAATATGGTATATCAAGGTTGTGGACCCTATAGAGGTCACAATTTTTTTATCCGTTTTTGTTGAAACTTGAAATGTAATTTTATGACCCAAAGATCTCGGTTCCTTTCAATATTTGTGCATATCGGACCGTAACTTCCTGAATTATGGCCCCTGATTGTACGAAAAATCGTGTTTTTAGCTTGTGGACCCTACAGAGGTCATAATTTTTATCCGATTTAAAAAAACGTATTATTATATCACCGTTACACCCTAAGGATGAATGAGTTCGAATTTCATGAAAATCGGCCCAAAATTGACAGACAAAATGGCCATCGTTCGTTCTCAAATAGCGTAAAAATATGGTATATCAAGGTTGTGGACCTATAGAGGTCACAATTTTTTTATCCGTTTTTGTTGAAACTTGAAATGTAAGTTTATAACCCAAAGATCTCAGTTCCTTTCGATATTCGCCCATATCGGACCGTAACTTCCTGAATTATGGCCCCTGATTGTACGAAAAATCATGTTTTTAGCTTGTGGACCCATTAGAGGTCATAATTTTTATCCGATTTAAAAAAACGTATTATTATATTACCGTTCCACCCTAAGTTGAGTTTGAATTTTGTGAAAATCGCCCCAAAATTGACAGACAAAATGGCCGCCGTTCGTTCTCAATTAGCGTAAAAATATGGTATATCAAGGTTGTGGACCCTATAGAGGTCACAATTTTTATCCATTTTTGTTGAAACTTGAAATATAAGTTTATAATCCAAAGATCTCGGTTCCTTTGATATTCGTGCATATCGGACCGTAACTTCCTGAATTATGGCCCCTGATTGTACGAAAAATCGCTGTCTTTTTAGCTTGTTCTCTATCCATCTCTCGAAAATGTGGGCGTATCCTGCCTGGCAGCCGCTGGTTACATATCATTGTTACTATGCACGAAGCGAGCTGCACACACGTCTTGTTTAGTACGCCATATTTTCATAAAATATTAGTTTCTTCCAAAATAGTCTTCGATAGTAGGAGGCTGTAACTGGAAAAAACTGCTTGTTTGACTCCCATAAAGACACGTCTGGCAGTTGGAAATCCAAGCACAAACCAAGTAGTATTTAGCGATGGGTTGCAGCATGATCTTCAAATTCTTCTTAAAGTCTAGGAAGGCAAACAAATTTATTATCTTTCCAAATTCCCATTCCACGCATTCTCTTACACTTGACATTTGAGAGTTATTTTCAACCGTCGTAAGATTAGCACCTTTATAGGGACACAGTAAATTATCCCTCACTGGATACACAGGATCTCCATAAAATGCAACCGACTGACCATTTGAAGTTTTAAAATCTTTGGTTTCTAACTGCTCTAGTAATCTACTAAGTTTTAAAAGTGCACAATCATGTTGCCTTCCCTCAACAGGTCCAAACATGTTCACATGTGAGTACCAACTGAAACCTGAGGGCATGGACGCGCTTGTGGCCATTGTAGGGGACCTTTTGGTTTTCTCCTGGTCTACGGACATCAATCACTGTTCATCAATAAATCCAAATACTTTTCAAGTGGAGCCCCATTCTCATGTTTAGAAACCGCATACTCTCGTAGCTTTTCTTCCCGTAATTAGGTTCATCTAAAGAACTGAGTAATTGTCTAAATACATCATAAATGAAGTCTAAGCTTCTATTTATGATCAAAGAGAGGGTTGATTTCGGCCTTCCAAATAATTTCTAAAGGTCTACCAGCCTATTAGGATAGACGAAACACCGTAGCTAAATGCATAAAGCATCAACTCCATTTACATGTGTCTGGTTTTCACAAAACATCTCATCCAGGATATGAAGATAATGAATTCCATTCATGTCAAATCTGAATTGACATCTAATATGCTCGTCTGAGAGGTTATTTAGATTAAATCTTGGCCAGCCCGGATCGTAAGTTGAACTAGAGACATGGCGGTTAATATTAAATAGGATCGTATAGTTTAAAGTCTCTTCATCATCATTTTCCAAGGCTAACCTTAAAATTCTGTCACCATCCATGTTCTCATGCCTATAGGCTGCTATTCTCAGTGTCGCCACCTTCCAAGTGTAAGTGTAAATTTAGCGAAACGCCATAATGTACAGTTACACTTACACTTGTCTAAATGTAAGTGTAACTGTTACGCTGGGAAACCTCTCTATTGTGTATTTCAGATATTTGTTTGTGGAGCAGAACCTATGTCATCATTAACCAGTGTATTAGGAGATATTGTACAACCCTTATTTTCTGTCCTATGTTTTTGCTCTAATGGGTGTGCTGCTTTAAGGTTTGATATATGACTTTAATTTAATTTGATTAAGTATGGTGAAAGAATGGCATGTTGCATTTGGCAATGGTTATTGTTCTGTCGTAATATATAATCATCTGTTTTATCACATGATTGTAGACTATGTCATAAGACACCGTCACACGCAGAGTAATAAGATTTTAATTTGATGATATGTCATATTTACACCAATATGACATTGTTGGACTAAGCATACATAAAAAAAAGAAATTTCTTCTCTTTATTAAGTTTATATGATTTTCACCCTGAAAGAGCAGGCAATCCAGCATTCGCTATGATCTGTGCTATGAGGGTAAATTTGCCAAGACATTGGTGTATGTCCTACTCTTATTTAGAATTCAAACTGTCAAGGGTTCTTTCACGTGCACGCCAAATTTTTCGCCCCATCCTTTCCTTGCATTGACCGTCTGTCGATCCTGCCCTACTGACAAGGACAGACCACACCAGACAGTCTCCTTTTCATTAGCCCAGTCGGTGCAGAAGGACATTAAATATCATTTATTAACTTAGTAGCAGTATTATTTATATTTTCAGTACATATGTTCATGAATTGCTGGTGATATATTTTAAAAACTTAAATAAAAGTGAAGCTTTAGAGAGTTTAGTTGGGCTGGTATGTGATCACAGTAACAATACAACTAAACAGCTCTGTGATGATATTGTATTTGAAACTGGAGATCTTGGAGGTGTTCAGATTATTTATCAAAGTAATGAACAGTAAGTGTTGAAGTTTATAATTTTGGTGTCTTAATAATATTATTCTGACTAAAATATAGCCACATTTAATGTCCCTGAGGGTGATTTGACCGATATAGGAATCTCATAATTATGGCCCCTGATGGTACGAAAAATTGTTGTTTTTTAGCTAGTAGAACTTCTAGAGGTCAATATTTTTATACGCCCACATTTTCATGTGGACATTTTATGCTGTCGCCCCTGTCAGTCAAGGCTGGAAATAACTGGTCGGACGCGGATGTGGTCCAGTTGAATTTCACAATTTGTCAGGTGAAACTTATTAATGGTCTGTCATTTTGTCCGAGCGAAAATTTATCAGAGATTTTCGCCATTTTTGGAAAATAAAAGTAGACCACTTCTCACCAAGTTGTAACTTTACCTGCTATCGTAGCTCTATATTCTAGCCTATACGTACATGTCAAAACTCACAAAAGGAAAATAAACATAAAAGTATATTAATCCATAGTAATAGTATTACTTTTTTTACGTAAAAGAAAAATGTCAGTCTAACAAACTGAAGAAACCGTGCTCGGCGGCAGTTCTTATTATTAATATATTTTTTTCATTTTGATACCATTAGAAAGATAATTGAACTACCTTTCGATCTGTCGGGGGTGGAATGTTGGCATTTAAAAATATGATGTATATTTTTCAAGTTGAAAAAACAATTCACGCTCACTTTTTATGAGGCAATTTGTCAAGATTCCACCTCGACCGATCGAATGTTCGTTCCGATGCTGTTAAAATCAATAAAATCGGAGCATGTTAAGTGCTGTCACCGAGCACTTGAAAATGGTATATAATGTGACTTTTTGTGAACGAATAAACCTCGTAGTGTTTCGTGTTATGGCGTCATAAGACACGGCGAAGAAAAACTGCATTTCAAGTTCCAAAGACCCATCTTCGCGGTAAATTACATCGAAATGCAACTGAATGTTCATTTATGAAGTAAGCGTTATGTTATATGAATAAAGGACTTGCCCAAAAATAGTTAATTCCATTTATTTTCACGCTTTTTGCAAGGGCTACTGTGTTGACATCACGTGACTCATATTCCCGTGCTTCTACACTGAAACTACTGAAGGGAAATTTTCTCCCAGCTACAACACCAAATGTTTTTCAACAATTGAAATATTCCGTAGCATTGACGAGTATTTCAATGTTCTGGAATAAAAAATTCACTGTTTTCAGTGAATTATTCATGCCTAATTTAAAGCATTTACTCTGCACACGAATGGAAACCAGAAAATATCCACAAGGGTCTCGGAGAACCATTATTACATTCGGCAGTGGATATTTGCAACATGTGGCAAGCAAGAATTTCAAAATAGCCTTACGACTACAAACCGCAATTGTTACCCGATTTTAATGAAACTTGCACATTATGATAACATTGATAATATCTCAGAGTAGGCAAAGTTTCAACCACTTCTGGTTAGCAGTTTCCGAGATATGGGGGTTACCACACATTTCATGTGGCATGACTACAGACCGCAATTACCAACCGATTTCAATGAAACTTGCAGATTATAATTACATTAATAATATTTCAGCATAGGCAAAGTTTCGGCCACTTCTGATTAGCAGTTTCCAAGATATCAGGTTGCCACACTTCAGTCTTAGTGGTTTCCGAGATAACAGGTTACTACACATTTCACATGGCACGACTGCAGATCACAATTATGAACCAATTTCAATGAAACTTGCAGGTTATAATTACATTAATAATGTGTCAGAGTAGGCAAAATTTCGACCACTTCCGGTTAGCGGTTTCCGAGATAACAGGTTACTACACATTTCATGTGGCACGACTGCAGACCTCAATTATTAACCGATATCCACGAAACTTACAGAATATGATAACATTAATAATTTCGCAGAGTAGGCAAAGTTTCGACCACTTCCGGTTAGCAGTTTCTGAGATATCAGGTTACCACATATTTCATGTGGCACGGCTACAGACCGCAATTACCAACCGATTTCAATGAAACTTGCAGAATATGATAACATTAATAATATCTCAGAGTAGCCACAAATTAGACCACTTCCGGTTAGCGGTTTCCGAGATATCAGGTTACCACACATTTCATGTGGTACGGCTACAGACCGCAATTACCAATTGATTTCAATGAAACTTGCAGATATCATTAATGTTATCGGTTGATAATTGTGGTCTGCAGTCGTGATTGGCTTGGAATCATGTCTGGGTTTTCCCCAGATATTTGAAACTTTCTTTTGCTAATTTTGTGAAATGAGTCGTATTTTGCCATGGATACGTGCATAATTTGCTGCAATAACCTAAATAATGGTGAGGTTGTTGTTAAACTCTGGTGATTGGCTTGCAATCCAGTCTGGGTTTTCCGCAGATATTTGAAACTTTGTTTGCTAATTTTGTGAAAAGAGCCGTATTTCGCCATGGATACGTGCATAATTTGCGGCAATAACCTAAATATTAATGGGAATGTTGTCAAGCTCTGGTGATTGGCTTGCAATCCAGTCTGGGTTTTCCCCAGATATTTGAAACTTTGTTTGCTAATTTTGTGAAAAGAGCCGAATGTAATCAGTCAGGCTGCTCAGCTTCACGAGTTGGACATTTCGGTCGCCCCTAATGCATGTACAGTGCAGACAGAATTTCACTCACCAGATTGGATTCCAGACCAGTCAGTCAGTGTCACAAAAACAAACCAGTTCACAGCCCGCTTATTCTGAGTTCTCTAGGACATCAGAACTCACGTCAAACTCGCTTATTCGGTATCAAAGCAGTTAGTCCGGTCGTCAAACCCAATATTTCGAGTGAACCTGGAAATTGTCAACAAAGTTTTTTTTTAGGATTGATTTTAGTAGCCTATGGTGTCCTCTTTCAGAATCTGCCGGGTGAACCTCATTGAGTCAACTGGCGTGATATCGAATCCCCGGTTGTATGTGGCAAGGAATAGGGTCGCCTGTCCAACCTCGTGGGTTTTCTCCGGGTCCTCCGGTTTCCTCCCACTGCTAAAGACCCCTACGTGCAAGCGAATTATTAAAAAAATAAAATGAAACCATATGTTAGTCCCGAAATGACCTAGTTTGTGTCGAGTGGACGTTAAACCCCATTTCTCTCTCTCTCGATATTCGCGCATATCTGAATGTAACTTCCTGAATTATGGACCCTGATTGTACGAAAAATAGCGTTTTTAGCTTGTGGACCCTATAGAGGTCATAATTTTTATCCGATTTAAAAAACTATATTATTATATCACCGTTACACGCTAAGGACGACTGAGGTCGAATTTCGTGAAAATCGGATCAAAATTGACAGACAAAATGGCCGCCGTTCGTTCTCAAATAGTGTAAAAATATGGTATATCAAGGTTGTGGAAATATCCTCCAGTATCTGCCAAACGAAACCATTAGCTAAAACTATCATAAAAGGGCTTAAATTATGCCAAACCCAACATGCCATTTGGTGCAGAACACTTCGTAGCTATACTGGAATTAATAGTTTACTTTATAATTGATAAAAATAAACCTATAGTAGACACTTTAGAAAAAATCAAATAAAAAAAATTAATGCAAACACAATGGAAACGTTCGATTTTTCTACTTTGTATACTATGCTTCAACATGCAGATCTTAAAGATAATTTAGATTGGTTTGTAGATAAAGCCTTTAATGGAGCTTTCAGGAAAGGCAGAAACTTGATGGCCATTTATGTAGAAGATGCTAAATGGATTATATAACGTCGCAATGCCGACACTGTAGTTTTTGATAAAGAAAAATTTCAAAATATCATACATTTCCTCATTGACAATGCCATATTTGAGGTTGGGGATCAGATAATGCAACAAACCATTGGTTTGCCGGTGGGAACTGACCCCGCCCCACTTATGGCAAATGCACATTTATATAAATACGAATTCGACTTTCAAGACCATAAAAGAAAAACAGATTACAAAGTAGCTAAAAGTCTAAACTATACCTTCCGATACATTGATGACATAACACCTATCAATGATAACGGAAATTTCAACAAATATAAAAGTGAAATATATCCTCCTGAACTAATATTAAATAAAGAAAATTCCGGTACTGTAAATGCATCTGTTCTTGACCTGAACATGAATATAATTAACAATAGATTTAATGTCGGTATTTTCGACAAAACGGACAAATTTGGTTTTGAAGTAGTAAAATACCCATCAATCTATAGTAACATACCAGATACCACGCTATATAGTGTTTTCTATTCACAGGCATTATGATTTTTGACAATATGTAAAAATAAAGAACTATTTCTCTCCCGAATAAAACCTCTTTACTTTAAATGCACTGCCAAAGGCGCTACACAATTACGCATTTTAAAAGAAATTTCAAAACTTCCATTTCTTCAACATACTAAGGTTGACATCACTTGTAAATAACCGACTACATACTGGATAATGATCCTAATTAAATTTTATTTTAGATTTTCTGTAGTTACCTAACCCTGTCTGAATTACCTCCCTTAATTTTATGCCTTTGTAAAAACACTTACATAGTACGATTTCTTCAACATACCTGTTTTGCATTTCTTGTGTGGGATATTATATTAATATATTATAAATTGTACAATTACATAACTTAATAATTCGGATTAGTCGCTAAAACTTATGGTTTTTAAGCTTTTAACATTATTTTATCTGGATTATCACCCTTTTTATTGTTATTTTTTATCACCTTCTAAGATATGATGTCATTCTCAGTCAGCAGACGGCTGTCCCTTGAGACAGTCTACATTTCCTATTTGCTTCTTTGTATTCAGTTTTGTTTTTTGTTTTTGTGACGATGGAACATGTACCCTATATGTATTGAATACTGAAGCGTTTCTTGATTGAATTTAGAGTTCAGACTACTTTTTTATACATTTCACCGATGTGGTTACTTGTATAGTTAAATTTTACTACATATGCTTACATTCGTATTTCGTGTAGCATATAGCAGATCATGACTCATGCTGGCATTAC